GCCATGAAGGATACCTTATTTTCTTCAGACTATTTGAACTATATAAATATATATTTGGGTTGAAATGTTAAAATAGAGCATATGTTTACATAACTTCGTGGGTTGGTTGGTTTGTTTTTAACTATACCTGACAGACTTTGCCTGCTGTACCCAATTCAGTATGAGAGTTTTACTTTTTTAAAAACTTTTTTTATTGTAGGGTCAGTGCTTGGGATCAAACCCCAGGTCTTGCTCATGCTGAGAAAATGCCCTAAAACTGAACTACACACCCAGTCCAATTTGCTTTAAAACTGTTGCTTATGGATTTTCAAGTGTACTAAGCATATATTATGATGAAGGTGCTATGTAGCCTCCACCCAGCCTCAGAGATTGTTTTGCCATTCTTATTATTGCTGTTCTGTGCTTTGCTTACTTTTTTAATTTAGTTATTTCCTGGACCATTTGTTTTCTGTGGCCAGGTGTAAATGACAAGATTTTTATATATTGAAGTTGTGATATATATATAATATATCCATCACCTCAGCTGTATATGTTAAGAACACTGAGGATGTACATTTGGCAAATTTCTATTATAAAATATATGAACTGTCCTCACTATGCTGTGCATTAGGTCTCCAAAACTTACCCATCTACAAGTCTGTACTCTTTAACCAGTATCTACTGATTTCCCCCACCTCTTGTGTCCCAGGTAATGACCATTCTTCTGTTTGTATGAGTTTGACTTCAGACTCCCCATATAAGTGAGATCATGCAGTATTTGTACATGTACCACATTTTCTTTATCCATTTGACACTTTGGTTGATTGACAATTGTTTTTTGCATAACATTTACATTGTATTTGGTATTATAAGTATACAAAGGTCCCAGGATTTATTAGCTCAGTGGTTCCGCCACCTGCCTTGCAAGTGCAAAGACCCGAGTTTGATCTCCGGTGCCAAAAAAAAAAAGTTCCACCTATAAGGATACAGAAAGATATACACAGGCTATATGTAAATATTGTACATCTTATATAAGAACTTCAGCATCCCTGAATTTTGCTACCAGCAAAGCAGAGATCTGAAACCAGTCTCCCCAGAGGATTGAGGTAGGGCTGTAGTCTTGTTTTGTTGCTCTGATTTGTTTGTTTTTTAAGACCCTTAGGCAATCTGTCTTGGTATACCAGGAGGAACAGCTGATTCTTTTCCATTTACCTCTTGGCCAGTTTTATGTTTGGAAAAATGTCTGTTTCAGTCCCCTGCCCATTTTTTAATTAGATCTCTTTTTTTTTTTCAATGGAGTTTCTTATATATTTTAGATATTAGTGCCTTATTGGGTACATGGTTTGCAGATAACTTCTCTACTTAAAGTTACATTTTTATTTTGCTCATTATTTCCTTTGCTATGCAGAAATAATATAGTCTCACTTGCTTTTACTTTTGTTAACTGTACTTTCGTGTCTTATCTTTAAAAAATTGTTGCCCAAATTAATGAGATTGAGCTTTTCTCCCCCACATTTTCTCTTAGGAATTTTAGATCTTTATTCCATTTTGAGTTGATTTTTGTGTATTTCAAATTTTTACATGTGGATCTCGTTTTTCCAACAGTTTATTAAAGAGACTGTCCTTTCCCCCTTGTGTATTCTTGGTTCCTTTGTACAAGATTAGTTTATCTTGCTAGATGTGGTTGTGCATGGCTGTAATTCCAGCATGCAGGAGGCTGAAGCAGGATGATCACCCTGAATTTGATCACCCAGCTACTATGGACTATATAGTGAGTTTAAGGCCAACCTGAACTACATTGCGAGACCTTGTCTCAAAAAAAAAAAAAAAAGACCTTGTATGTGTAGATTTCTTCTTCTGGGCTATCCCTTCTGTTACATTTGTTGATGTGTCTTTTTGTGACAGTATATTACTACTTTATTGTACCTTTATAATGTATTCAAATAATGAAGTATGATGCCTTCAGCTTTATTTTTACAGAACATTGCTTTAGTTTGAAAATATCTTAAACCTATTACTTTATATAATTAGTATATGCTAATAATTTCAGATTTTACATTTTCATTTAAAAAACATTGCTTTTCCTATTTGAGTCTTTTCTATTTCTGTGAAAAATAGTGTTGGAACTTTGATAGGAATTGCAATAAATCTTGTTTTGGAAAGTATGGCATTTTGGCAGTATTGATTCTTTCAATGCATGAACCTAGGCTGCCTTTCCATTTATTTTTGTTGTCTTTAATTTCTTTTACTGTCTTTTCATAGTTCTTGGTACGTGAATCATTTACCTCCCAGGTTAAATTTATTTCTCTTTTATTGTATTAGCCTTTTGGGGCAGGACAGGGGATTAAACTCAGAGCATCATACATACTAGACAAGTGCTCTATCAATGAACCTGTATCTCCTGTCTTTTTTAAACTTTTTATCTTTTTTTTTCCCCCTCAGTACCAAGGATTGAACTCAGGACCTTGCTCTTGCAGGGCAGGTGCAGCACCACTAAGCTAAATCCCTGGTCCTTTAAATTTTATTTGAGACAGTCTAAGTTGCTCATGTAGACTTCAAACTTGGGGATTCTCTCTTAGCCTTTCAAGAAGCTAGGATTGCAGCCCCGTGCCACTATACCTGACAGTACCGTAGTATTTATTTTATTGTGAATGGAATTTTCTTAGGTGTTGTTTTTTTCAGGTAGTTACAGTGTTAAAAATACAGTGGAGTTTCATGTGGTTTTCTATCCTACAACTTTATTAATTAACACATTATAACAAGGATTTGGTACCTTGGTTAGGTATTTCTATATAAAACATGTCACCTCAGGCTTATCATTATACTTCTTCCTTTCCAGTCTGGACACCTTTTTTTTTTTAAAATAAAAAAAAAAAACTTACACAACACTGCGAAATAGAGAGAACATCTTCATCTGGTTCTTGATCTTAAAGAAAAACTTTTAGCTGGACACTAACACATCTGTAATCCCAGCACTCTGGGCCAAGGCAGGAGGATCACAAATTCAAATCCAGCGTAGGCTACTGAGCAAGACCTCTCAAAATTTAAAAATAAAAAATTTTAAATGCTGAGAATGTAGTTCAGCATGAAGGACCTGAGTTAAATCTCCTGTGTTGAAAATTTTTGAACATTTTACTGTTGAATGATATTAGCTGTGGGTTTATGATATGTGCCCTTCATGGTACTGAAATATATTCATTCTCTACCTAATTTGTGGATGTTTTATGAAAGTATAAATTTTTTTTTCAGTTTTGAGTTTATTGGTACATTTTAGGGATACAGTACAGTTACATTCATTGTTGGGATCTTGTACCTCTACATGACAAGTCTTGCTTGGTTTGAAAGGATAAATTTCATCAAATGATTTTTCTGCATCTATTGCTCATGGTTTTTATTCTTCATTCTGTTAATAGTTATTCATTTATAGTTTTGCACATGTTGAACTGACCTTGCAAATCCCAGTTGATCATTGTGTATGATTATTTTAAGACAGGATCTTGCTCTGTGGTTCAGGGTGGCCTCAAACTTGCAGCAATTCTCCTGCCTCAGCCTCCTAAGCACTGAGATTACAGGCATGCACCACCATACCCAGCTGTGTATAATCCTTTGAATGGCCTGTTGGATTTGGTTTGCTAGTATTTTCTTGAGTTTTACATCTTGAATTTTGTCCTTATTTAGCTTTGGTGTCTGGCTAATTGAATAAAATGAGTTTGAAACTATTCCATCTGGTTCAATATTTTGGAAGACCCAGCTGTGAAGATTATTCTTTAAATGTTTGGTAGAATTCAGCTATGAAGCTATATGATCCTGGGCTTTTCTTTGATAGGACATTTTGCTTACTGATTCAGTCACCTTACTCATTGTTGGTCTATTTCCTGTTTTTTCATCATTCAGTCTTATCAGATCATATCTTTCTAGGAATTTATCTGTATCTTTTACTCAATTTGTTGGGACATAATTATTCATAATACTCTGTTACAGTCATTGGTATTTCTGTGCTATGAGTTGTATGGTCATACACAATGGCTAGCTTGGTAAGCTGGCCTAAAATTCCTAAGTTCAAGTGACTCAATCTCTTGAGTAGCTAGGTTTACAGGTATATACCACTGTACCTAGCTTCATTTCTGACTTCATTTGAGCCTTCTCTTTTTATCTTAAATAATCAACTCTTTGTGGTTTTTTCCCTATTACTCTTCTAGTCTATTTCATTTATTTCTACTGTGATCTTTATTATTTCTATCCTTCTACAAACTTTGGGTTGAACTTGTTCTTTTTCTAATTCCTTGGTAACCTTAAGTTATCCACTTGAAGTCTTTGAAAGCTACCCTTGCTCTTATGTCTTTGTGTGGAATTTCTTTGTCATTCCTTTACTTTCAGGCTACTTAAATCTCTAAAGTTGCACTCCCTCTGTGTGTGTGTGTGTGTGTCCGTGTGTCCGTGTCCCCACCTCTGTAAACTAGAAATTGAACCCAGCACCTTCACCCTAAACCTGATATTTTTTTGAGAGGTTTCACTATATTTTTCCAAGGCTGGGCTCAAACTTGTGATCCTCCTGCCTCACCCTGCCAGAGTTCTGGGATTACAGCCAGGTGCCACCATACTGTTTCATATGTATAGCATATATAATTTGGTCTTTTTCTAAGGTCCATTCACCTACTCTTTTAAGAATTTATTCCATTTCATTATTATTGATAGCTAAGTACTTTTGCCATTTTGTTGAATTGTTTTCTGACTGTTACACAAACTCCTTTTGTTCTTTTCCCTTTTTTTGGTACTTGGGATTGAACTCAGGACCTTGCACTTGAGAAGCCCCAGCCCCTTCCTCACTTTTTTATTATTTGATGAGTTGTCTTAGCAGAATGCTTTAATCTTTTTGTCATTTTTTTATATGGTAGTTACATTTTTATGGTCACTATGAGGCTTATATAAAAGTTTTTTTTCAATTGAGTTTATTGGTACATTTTAGGGATACAGTACAGTTACATTCATTGTTAGGATCTTGTACCTCTACATGACAGGTCTTGGTTCTCATTTTTTCCCCTTGTCCCCGCCCTCCCTTATATAAAAGTTTTAATTATCTTATTTTAAGCTGATAGTGACTTCAGTTGCATACAAAAACATGCTCTTCCCTTGCATTTTACCTTTTAGATGTCACAATTTATATCATGTATATCTATTATGAAATTTTTGCAGCTATAGTTTTATGGGATTTTGGGGGATTGGGAAGGTTGTTTTGAGACAGGGTCTTGCTTCACAGTTCAGGCTGGCCTTAAACTCACTACATAGCCTAGGTTGGCCTAGAATGTGCAGTGTTCCTCCTGCCTCAGCCTCCCAAGTGCTCAGATTATCAGCGTGCGCTACTACGCCCAACAGTTACAGCTATTTTGAATATCTTTGTGCTTTAACTGTTCTAATAGATTTAGAGGTAACTATATACTACCATTACAATTAGAATTATCTGATTATGACTGTGTATTTACCTGTGCCCTATGGTTTTTATAATTTTACATATTTTCATGTGACTGTCCTTTCCTTTACGCTTGAGTCACTCCCTTTATCATTTCTTGTACATCAGCTCTACTTCTGATTAACTCCGTCATCCTTTGTCCAAGAAAGTTCTAGTCTCTCCTTCATTTTTGCCAATAAAGTACTTATACAGCTATATCGTCCCACTGTGTCCTGGCCTGCAGTGTTACTGCAGAGAAAGGCCTTAATAGCCTTCTAAATGTCCCCTTGTGTGTGTTATTCCTCTTTTGTCTTGCAACTTCCAAAATGCTCTTTGACTTTGATTTTTGAAGTCTGGTTAAAATGTATCTGTTGAACTCTTAGGTGTAAACTTCTTAACTTCACATCCCTGTATGGTCCGTATCACTCGGCAGAGTAGGCTAGACTTTTGCTGGCATCTCTTTAAACTTTCTCTGTCTCATGTTACACTTTCAGTATACTAATGTTAGCTCTTATACTGTCTCATACATTACATAGGTTTTCTTTATTCCTTTTCATTAATTTTTACTTTTTCTTCATTTTCAAATTGTCTTTAAGGTCAAAGTTACTTCTTTTGTTTGCTGTTGATATCCTGTAATGTGTTTTTCATTTCAGTTATTTTATTCTTTGTTGAATGTCTTCCCTTTTAGTTCATGTATTATTTTTCTAATTTTTTGAGCTGCCTATCTGTCTCTCTCACCTTCCTTAATTGTTTTGTATTCTTTGTCAAACATTTCCTGATCTCTTTTTCTTTATAACCTGTTACTGGAATATTATTGTGTTCCTCTGTCGTGTTCTTTTTCCTCGGTTTTCATGTTTCTTGAAGTCTTGGTTTGCTATCTTCACATCCAACAAAGCATCTGCCTCTTCCAGTCTTTACTGGGTGGCTTTAGGAGAAAATCACCTTCACTAAACAGAATGGTGAGGAATTCTGATGCTGTCAGACCGTTTTGCGGGGAGGGTACCATGGATTGAACTCATGATCTTGTGCTTGCCAGGCAGGCATAGTGCCACTGAGCTACATCCCCAGCCCTCAGACCTTTTCCTTGAATGCTGCCATTCCACTTGCCCTTAGTGCTCCTGGGAGCGATGGGTACTCTTCACATTACACAGTTTGCCTTCCCTTGGTTGCATGCTTCCCATTCGTCTTCCCAAGGGCAGAATTCTGAAATGCTCAAGTTTGTTTTCCTTCCAAGTCTCCAAAGTCAAGCTGGCTTTCTGCCTGAGACGCTTGGGTTACAGGATTGCACTCAGGAAACAGGTTTTATTCAGTGCACCTGTACTCTGATGTTTTGTTCCAGTTAGTGTGCTGGACTTTTTCTACTGGTCTCTTAGGGTTCCACAGGGCATTCTCACCCATAGGTCACTGGGCTATATGTATCAAGAAAAACAGACAAAAGTAGGTTTTTCTCAGGAGACTATATACAATCAAGTGCAAGCATCTAGCATAAACGGCCTCAAAGGTGAGCTCCTGGGTTAAGGAGACCTGATTTAAGTCTTAGTCCTTTTGTAGGGTTTGTAGCATTAAATTTTGGTGACTTCATTTTCCTGGAATGTAATCCTTTTATTATACAATGAAAATATGCTCACTTACATGGAAATACAAGCAACTTAAAATTTTTAATCTCTACAAAACCCTTAGGAACTGGCAATTATTGTCTAATTTACATATATTTATAATCCAACCCTTTGAGATTAGTTCCAAAGATAAGGAAACTAAGTGTATATATGAAATGTTCAGACCCGTCATGAAGGTGTTCTTATACTGGACTAAGTTCTTGCCCCTGCAAGTGCAAGTTTCTGTCCTGGGTAAGAGGCATCTAGACCCAATTTGACAGACTAGGGCAGTGATGGTGAACCTTTAGAGTTTTCAGTGATATAAACTGCATGCTTTGGCATGCATGCCAGAGTTTTGCCACCACTGGGCTAGAAGCTTACTGTTCCAGAGCTGTTATAGCTGTAAGTCTCTTCACTGGCTCAGGCCAGAAAAAAAATTCATAAAAAATTAGTACATACCATATTCCTAATTTAAGGATAAATTATGTTCCTGGGTAGAAAAACTTTAACTCTTAGGTTAGCATGAGAAAGGTGAATCTGACAGGCCTCAATTCTCATTACTTTTCTCTTCTCCTGTAATTCTGCCTCCTCAGGACCCTGGCCGGCCAGCCCAGAAACACAAGGAAAAATGGCTACAGGATTGCTGATAGCCCAGTCCCAGGTGTGTAGGAAGTCATTTTGTTTGCAGCCAACCACTGCTGTGATCAAAGAGCACATCGCCTACCCATTGGAGCTTCACAGCTCAACCAGGACTGGCCTCAGTCTTGCCCAGCCACTGATCTGGGCTTTTGACGATGAAATTCCTAGAAAAAGCTTCCATATTACATTGATATATATATATTTTTTTTTTTTGATATTCATTTAGGTTAAGTATGAATTTCATACCCTGCTGGGTACTGTGAAGCTTTTCTCTAGGAAAACCCATTATTCATTTCCCAAGTATCTCTCTCATTCTTGCAGCCTGTCCTATCTATACTGGATCTGAGTAAGACTGAAAGAGTCCTCCCAACTTAATTGTGGAAAAATCAAACAACCATGTAGAAAAGCTGTGAAAGCCATGCAACCGAATGAGATGGCCTAGGATTTAAAGAGAACTCTTTGCTTTGGGGCAAAAAATGAAAGGCTTCAGGCACTTACCTGAGCTTGTACCACCCTTGAGCCCCTCAGTCCTGTCAATTTCCCTCACCATCCTCCTGGCACATTGTTAAATATGGTCATTGTCTGAGCCAGAATGTGTATGTGACATTTTAGAACTCAGTGACCTTCCAGGAAGTGGCAGTGGACTTTTCCCAGGAGGAATGGGCATTGCTGAACCCAGCTCAGAAAAGTCTGTACAGAGATGTGACACTGGAAAACTTTAAGAACCTGGCCTCAGTGGGTAAGGTTGGCCTTATTCGTTCATTTGTTCATGTAGCTAATAGTTCTAAATACAAGTACATACTGTGTTCCACAATCCATGAAAAGAATGTCAACATTTGGTGAACATAAAATGGATGGTCTTTGCCTGTGCGGGCCAGTCTATCAGTTTCTCATGAAATACATTGATTTCATAGTCTGGATCTTGTATTAAAAGCTTTGGCTAATTTGCCAGCCATGGTAGTGTTCACCTATAATCCCAGCTACTTGGGAGGCTGAAGCAAGAAAATTGCCAGGTTCGACACCAGGCTAGGCAATTTTGCAACACCCTGTCTCAAAATAAAAAGGACTGGGGTATAGCATAGTGGAAGAGCATTTGCCTACCGTGAGGTCCCCAGTACCATAAAAAGGAAGGAAATAAGGGATATCAGTGCAAGGCCTGGGTTCAAGCCCCAGTACCAAAAAGGGGGGAAAGCTTTTAAGTAATTAGTAGCCCGTGTCTTGATTTCAGGTTTCAAGGGTCACTTACCCGATAAGGCATAGTGTTTGCTTTTGGGAAAGAGCTGTGCTCTTGTTTATATTGCTGCTCTTAAAGCCATACTTGACCATCTTCATCCTCTTCTGAGACCAGATGACCAAGGTCAATTTTGTGGAGTCTTGTCTCTTCCACAGTTTTCCACATTGTCTTTCCTCACAAGCAGGGTACCAAGTCTGCAAACACAGTCTGACCTCCAAGGTGGAGCAGGGACAGCTGAGGACAGAGGAGAGAGGAGTTTTTCAAGGCGCCTGTGCAGGTAAGGCCTGGGCAGAAAAGAGTTCCTGTGGAGCAGCCTTGGCCAGCAAGGACTTATACATCTGGGAATGAATGAGTGCAGGCAAAGGCAGCTGAGGCCATTACATAATCTCTTTCGCTTTCACTCTATCCCATCACCTGTGTTTTCATTAGGTCTTGGAGAAAGAACTCTGAATTCCCCTTTAAGTTTAATTTTTCAAGGAGATCCCGAGTTTCTAACTATACCACACTTGGGAAATGGAGGGACAGGCCAGTGCCAGTGGCTAAGAAAAGGGTTAGGACCATTAGGGAAATAGGAGAAAGAAACTGCAGGAGCTGAGGCTTCTTTCTTCCCCCATTGACACATCCATCCATTGCTTTGTTTTTTGTTTTGTTGGTACCAAAACCTTCCACATATGAATCGGGCCTCCATCAAAATATTGACAGAAAGTATCCTCCATTGTACTGGAAAGAAAAGACCTGGATTTAAAGTCAGGGTCTGGCCCAGCATGATTATACATGCCTATAATCTCAGTACTCTAGGAGGCTGAGGTAGGAGGATTGCAAGTTCAAGCCAGCCTGGGCAACCCTGTGAGATTCTCACTCAAAATAAAAATGCCCTGAATTCAATTCTAGTGCTACAGCAAACAAATAATTAAAGCTGGCCCTGATGGCAGCTGTGGGGTCTCAAACAGTTGTGTCATAGCTCAAGTCTGTGAGCTGATATGTAAAAAGAGAACACCTACCATGCAGGGCTTAGTGGCCACTGTTCAGCTTTTGTGTTGTCTTTGTATTATTAAAAAATTTCAACAGCTAAGTGGGAAAAAATGAGCATTGGTGATTGTTTCTCAGTACCAAGAACCTTCAGCCTTGCCTCTCTCACACCTTTGACACAGGCTGTACAATCCCTTTCCTTTTCTCATTTATATATGTTCAGGAATCCCGATTTTGCTTTCTAGATAATACCATGTCTTGTTTTCACAAAACTCCAGAATCCTTGCTAAAGAGATTCCCTCTCCTTTCTGTAGCATGTTCCTGTCCTTTTTTTGGTCATTGGTTACATTTTCACATTTTCTTCCTTATTTTTATGATTTGGGGCCTGCCTCCCTTTATTCTTCTTATCCCAACCTTTTCTCCCAGTAATTATAAAATTTTCCCTTATACCTTCAGGACGGGAAACTCAACTTAAATCAAAAGATGCAATTCCTATGCAGAATGTTCCTAGGGTTACATCCTGTGGCAACAGAATGGTAAGGTATTACTAGGAATGATGAGTTAAAATATCACTCAAACCAGGAGGAAGAATTAAGCCTAGTAACATTTACTCACTAGAAAGCCATCTCAGGGGACGGTTTATGACACTCACAAAATTAGAGAAACCCCTAACTCAACATTTGGTGCCTCAGAGAATATCTACAAGTAAACATTTCCTTAAGTATTAAATACTTAGTACATAAGTCATTCTTCATTTGTTTTTAGAAAGACTTGTACTTAAAAAGCCCATTGGTGGAAAGGAATAATTTGGGGCCTTGGGCAGGGCATTCAGCTTGTTCATCTTGAAAAATAGAGTAAAAGTCCTATCTGTAGTCCCAGCTACTTAGGAAGCTGAGGTAGGAGGATTGCTTGAGCCTAGAAATTCAACATCAGCATAGGTAAAACAGCAAGATCCTGTTTTCTTTTTAAAAATAAAAAATGTAGTACACACACTGAAAATAATTATGTACCTCTGATATATGGCAGACTCCACATAAAGAGAATTCCTATAGGTGTGATGAGATGAAGCCTTTTACTTACCACTTTGTACTATTCAACAGGTACGAACTCATCTTGGCATGAAACCTGTAGAAAGCAATCATTGTGAAAAATTCTTCAGAAAAAACCTTCACTTTATTTATACCATGCATTTCAAAGAAGAAAAGTGCCGTGGATACATAGAATATGGCAAAGCCTTCAGACATCCTTCAGCTCCTAGGAGTCATGTGAAGAAAACTTTCAGTGGGGAGTCAACCCTTATGAAACACTTAAGAATTCTCACGGGAGAAAGCTCTCATGAGTGTAATCAGTGTGGTGTACCCTTCACCCTACATCCTTCCTTCTCAGCATGTGGACAAATGCTCTGTAAATGCACTGACTATGGAAAAATAGCTTCCTTTAATGTTCACAAAAACATACAAACTCTGAAGGAGGGCTTTGGATGTAATGAACACGGGAAAGATTTCATTTGCCCTGTGTCCCTACAGAAATATGTCAGAACTCACACTGGAGAGAAGTTCTACGAGTGCAGTGACTGTGGAAAAGTCTTCATTTTCCAGTCTTCCCTTAAGAAACACATGCGGTCCCACACTGGAGAGAAACCCTACGAATGTAATCACTGTGGGAAATCCTTCAGCCAGAGTTCTCATCTTAATGTGCACAAAAGAACTCACACTGGAGAGAAACCATACCAATGTAAAGAATGTGGGAAGGCCTTCACCGTTCCTTCATCCCTTCAGAAACATGTGAGGACTCACACAGGAGAGAAACCCTATGAGTGCAGTGACTGTGGGAAAGCCTTCATTGATCAGTCATCCCTTAAGAAACACACACGATCTCACACTGGAGAGAAACCCTATAAGTGCACTCAGTGTGGAAAATCCTTCAGCACGGGCTCTTACCTGATCGTGCACAGAAGAACTCACACTGGAGAGAAAACCTATGAGTGTAAAGAATGTGGGAAGGCCTTTAGGAATTCCTCTTCCCTGAGGGTACATGTGAGAACACACACTGGAGAGAAGCCCTATAAATGTATTGAGTGTGGAAAAGCCTTCAGCACAAGTACTAACCTTATAATGCATAAACGAATACATACCAGACAGAAGCTGTGAGCAAAAACAAACACGGAAAGAGCTCATGTCCTTCAACCCTCTCATCATTTTAGAATTCACACTAGAGAAAATATACTGTAAGCAATATGGAAAAGGCCTTGAGGCATCACTCTTGTTACTGGAGAATAAACCTTTTAAAAAAATGTTTCATCCTCAAGGTGGCAAAACTTGGTAGTTTGTAAGTAATAAAGATTGTACTGTAACTTTATATCACTGAAGTTTTGATATCAGATCATCATACTTAGTACTAAATGTTATCTAATTCCCATAGATGTCTTAGGCCCACAGATATATCTAAAAATACTTTTAACAATATGCAGATCCTATATATCTGTTCACTAGTTTAACTGTATTTGCGGACAGAATGCATCATGTTTACGACACACATTCAAACAGAAAATTGCTCTGTGGCATACTGTGACTGATAGAACTAGTTGCACTTCCAGTATTCCTCCTTCCTCGAAGTAACAAAACTTGGAATTTTGTTCAAGTATAGCAAGTACTTTTTGTTACATTTTGCTTTGCAGTACTGAGGGATGGGCCCAGGGCCTCACCTGCTAGGCAAGCTCTCTACCACTGAGCTATATTCCCAGCCTTTTTTTTTTTTTTTTTTTCAGGACCTTGCACTTGTGAGGCAGGCACAGTGCCTGCCACTGAGCTAAATCCTCGGCCACCAGCCTTTTTTTATGCTTTGATACAGGGTTTTTTGCTAAGTTACCCAGGTTGGTCTTGCCCTCGCAGCCTCCTGAGTAGCTGGGAATACAGGTGTGTACCGACACTCTGTATGTGTGGTATTGGGAATTGCTACTAGGGCCTTTGTATTGAGCTACATACCCTGCCCTTTTGAGAAAGGGTCTCACTAAGTTGCTAGGCTTGAACTTGCTAACCTCTTTTCTCAACCTCTCAATACTGGATTCAAAGTCAGTCTCTCTCTCTCTCTCTCTCTCTCTCTCTCTCTCTCTCTCTCTCTCTCTCTC